AGTATAACCCCTGCTTTCACTATATTTGATGTCAGTATAACTTGTGGAGGAGATGGGGAAAAACCAGTTGTTTAAGGATACAGGTGGATCTGTTGCAACAATGAAAAGTACAAGTTGTCATGTCCAAAAGGAGCTTTACAACGTCGGTGCGGGGGTGGAAGTGGGGGAAGGAGAAGGATTGGGATTGTGGGGGAGGGGGGAGGCTGGGAAGGGATGTGAAGGGTAAACAAAGGAGGAGGATGCAATGATTGGTAAGAAATTTATGCATTATCCTGCCCATGCAATTGTAACCCCACTGTACAGTATGTTCACAAATAAAATAAAACTAAAAAAAAATCTAGCTGAGGAAAACTAATTCATTAACCATTAATTATTGAAATAAACAATGAGAAATAAATAACTGTTTTTAGTGTTTTTTAATTTATCATAACCTTTTGTTTTCTAGGTGCTGCCACAATTTGTATTTTCAAGATGATTACAACAAATGAAACCCAAATGAATGGGTTCCTCCTCATGGGGTTTTCTGAGAATCACAAGCTGCAGCTATTACAAGCTTGCCTGTTCTTGCTGATGTACCTTTTGGACTTGACAAGCAACTTCATCATCATCACCATCACAACCCTGGACGAGCATCTCCAGTCGCCCATGTATTACTTCCTGAAGCAACTTTCCCTTATGGACCTCTCCTTCATCTCTGTCACAGTCCCCCAGTCCATTAGCAATTCCCTCACAGGCAATGGCTATATTTCCTATGCTCAGTGCATGCTCCAAGTGTTCTTCTTCACGTCTTTGGCCTGGGCTGAAATGGCCATTCTCACGGTGATGTCTTATGACCGCTATGTAGCCATTTGCTTCCCACTGCACTATGAACTCATCATGGATGCCAGAAAATGTAAGAGTGCTATGATAGCTGTATGGGTAAGTGGAGGCATCTCAGGAATCTTGTATACAGCTGCCACATTTTCTATCACATTCTGTAAAGCCAAAATAATCCACCAGTTCTTCTGTGATATCCCCCAGTTAATCAAGCTCTCCTGCTCCAATGATTACCTTGCACTCATTGGAGTGGTTGCATTCGTGGCTGTGGTAGCTTTAGCCTGTTTTGTCTCCATTGCTCTCTCCTATATCCACATATTCTCCACGGTTCTAAGAATACCCTCTGCTGAAGGCCGGTCTAAGGTCTTCTCCACCTGCCTGCCTCACCTTTTTGTTGTCTCATTTTTCCTCTCCACAGGCATCTGTGCATATCTCAAACCAACTTCAGACTCTCCAACTGCTCTGGACCTTATGTTATCCATCTTTTACACAGTAATACCTCCAACACTCAACCCTATAATCTACAGCCTGAAGAATCAGTCACTAAAGAAAGCTTTAGGGAAGTTACTGCTGGGTAGCTATTTCACTGGGAAAAAAGCTTATCTCCAGCGTTGTTAGTGTTTACAATAGTATGCATATGTGCTCCTTTAGTAACTACAATTTCTTCATCATTTAATGACAATGGACAGCAGTAATGTCTTTTCTATACATTAGTGATATAATATATGTGTGTTCATTATATAAATTCTCCATTCCATTTTTAAGTCACTGAAGCCATTTTGTTCTTTTAAAATAAAGAAAAAGTTAACAACTGTGACTTTATCACTTAGGTCCAATACTTTCTAATATCCCAATATAAAAACCCCCAGATATCCACATGTGAACACAACAACAGCCAAGGTACATTGAGATAAACCAGGAGTGTGCAAAATTACAATGACAACTAGAAAATAAAGTCATAATATCTACCAACAACCCAACTCATAATTTTACAAAAATCTTCTAATTTCAAATGTCCATTTAAAAACTATTGTGTTTTACAGATCACTTTTACATACAGTACAAATATGTATTTCATTACTAAGTTCATCAGCAAAATTTACCTACTGTATTTCTCCTGAATCCATAAGATTCAATATAATTTATAAGAAAATAATTTAAGTCTTTAACAATTTGACATGTAGTAGTTATTTTCAGTGTATTATCTTATAATTCATGGTCAAACTTAACAGCTTACCTCTTCTGAAGTCTAACAAATTATGCCATAAATTCTCAAACTCTTCAACCTGACCATTTTGTTTCCAAATCTGTGAAATCATTCACGTATATATCAGCAAAAGTATGGCCATGCCACTCTATAACTTACATGATTTTATCATTTCATGACTCAAATATTTCAAAATATTGTGCCTAAAACACAAATACTTGCACTAGCTAAGGTATATACATCATTAGGAAGTGCTCAGTATATTTTATAGTTGCAATACTTTACCATTCCTAATATTTTCAAATGTTTAATGACTAAGAAAAAATCATTTTCTAGATTACTTATCATAGTTTAAACATTTAATTTTTATTTTATATGTCTTTATAAAATATTATGCCCAGTTTTGAATAACCAACAATTTTTTCATATTTCTTTTTAAAATTTTTACTATGAAGATCATGTACAGAGGGTTACAATTACATAAGTCAGGTATTGAATACATTACTTTATGAACAATGTCACCTCTTCTCTTGTTTCCTCCCAGTTTTTTCCCTCCTGACCTGCCACTCCCACACATTTCAAAGTGCATTTCCAAAGTAGTGTCTAGTGAGTATCATTGCTAAGTTGATTTACCGTTTGTCCCATTTCTATGTTTCCCCCTACCCTTCCCAAATATTAGGTGGCTGTAGGTCTGTGTGTTCTATTCTATTCTTTTAGTCCTCAGGTCTATTCTTGTGCCAGTACTAAACTGTGTTTATTACCATGACCTTGTAATAGAGTTTGAAGTTTGGTATTGATATTCTTCCAGCACTGTTCTTCCTGCTAAGGATTGTTTTTGCTAATCAAAGTCTTTTATTATTCCATATGTATTTTTGGATTGCTTCTTCCATATCATTGAAGAATATTGTTAGGATTTTTGATGAGTATTGTATTAAATTTATGGATAGCTATCAGTAAATGGATATCCACAAATGGCTATTGCCAGTTTCATGATATTAATATTTCCAGTCCAAGAGCATGGAAGGTTTTTCTATTTCCTTTCTCTCAAGATTTAAAGTTTTCATCATAGAGTCCTTCACATGTTTTGTTAATTCCTAAGTATTTTTGAAACTATTACAAATGTAGTTTGCTTTCCTGACTTCAATCTTGCTCTTTTCATTGTTGGTATACAGAAAAGCTGCTGAGTTTTTGTGAGTTAATTATATACCCTGTTATTTCGGCAGTTTCAAATCAGCTCAAGTAACTTGAGAGAGGAATCTATAGGGTTCTTTTTTTTGTCAGCCATAGGGCTTGAACTCTGGACCTGGGTGCTGACCCTGAATTCCTCAGCTCAAGGCGAGCACTCTACCACTTGAGCCACAGTGCCATTTCCAGTTTTCTGGTGATTAATTGGAAAAAAGAGTCTCACAGACTTTCCTGCCCAGGCTGGCTTTGAACTTCAGTCCTCAGATCTCAGCTTCCTGAGTAGCTAGGATTACAGGCTTTAGCCACTGGCACCCAGTTTATAGAGTTCTTTACAGAATCATGCATCTGCAAAGAGGGATAGTTTTACTTCTTCTTTCCCTATTTGGATCCCATTTTTGTTTATTTCTTGCCTTATTGCTCTTGCTAAAAATTCCTGTACTGTGCTATATTGAAGAACAATAGAGAGAGTAGACTCATTCTTGATTTTAGAAGAAATGGTTTTAACTTTTCACCATTGAAGATAATGCTGGCTTTAAGTTTGCCATATAGTACCTTTATTATATTCAAGAATGTTCCATTGATTACAAGCTTCTCCAGATTTTTATCATAAAGGGGTGTTGCATCTTGTCACCTTTTCTGCATCTATTGAGATGGTTCTTATTCTTGCTCCTGTGGATGTGTTGAATTACATTAATTGAATTGCATATATTTAATCCTGTTTGATCATAGTGTATGATTTTTTGTTAGTTTTATAATTCGGTTGGCCAGAACTTTATTGAGAAGTTTTGCATCTATGTTCAGCAAAGGGATGAGTCTATAGTTCTCTTCTTTGATGAGTCCCTGTCTGGTTTTGGAATGTGGATTATGCTGGCTTTCATAGAATGATTTTGGTAGTGATCTTTCCCTTTCAATTTCATTGAAGAGTTGGAGGAGTATTGTAGTTCTCCTTTGAAGACCTTGTATAATTCAGCTGTGAATACATGTGGTCCTGGGCTTTTCTTGGATGGGAGGTCTTTCATTGCCATTTCTATTTCATTTCCATATCTCTTAATGTCAATTATTTTCATATCTTTTATTTATATGCCAGCTCTATAAAATCAGTTGAGGGACTGGGAAGGTGGCTCGGTGATAGAGTGCTTGCCTTGCATGCATGAGGCCCTAGGTTTGATTCCTCAGCGCTACATAAGCAAAAAAAGCTGGAAGTGGTGCTGTGGCTCAAGGTGTAGAGCTCTAGCCTTGGGCTGAAGAGCTGAGGAACAGTGCCCAGGCCCAGAGTTCAGGCACCACAACCAAAAATAAATAAATAAAGTTAGGTAGGTTGGTCTGGACCATAATCCTATTTATACACTCTCAGAGCTGAAGTAACAGACATGCACTACTGTGCTCAGCTTCTATTGGTTAAAGTAAGGTCTGGAGAACTTTTGTCTGAGCTAGTAAAGTAAGTCAGGTTAAGAAAAACACATGTGTGCCGGGGCTGGGAAGGCGGCTCAGTGGTAGAGTGCTTGACTTTCATGCATGAGGCCCTGGGTTCGATTCCTCAGCACCACATAAACAGAAAAGGCTGGAAGTGGTGCTGTGGCTCAAGTGGTAGAGCGCTAGCTTCGAGCTGAAGAGCTGAGGGACAGCACTCAAGCCAGAGTTCTGGCCCCAAAGCTGACTAAATAAATAAAATAAATAAATAAATAACCTTACTTACAACTCATACTTCTAGAAAAACAATAACAAACCACATCCAAGACTAGCAGAGTAAAAGGGAAGAAATTAATGAAATGAAGATTAAAATATAAAATATCAATAAAAAAAAGTTAGTTCTTTAAAAAAAAAAAGAAAGAAGAAAAACACATGTGGATTATTTTCCCTCCTATGTGGACACTAAAGCTAAAATACAAACATATATGAGCAAATACGTTACAATGTATTTCAGAGAGGAGGAATGTTGGAATAAAAAAAAAGGTGACAGGACACCCATCAAGCCAAGAGAAACAGAACAGTGAAAAGGAGGCTGAAAAATAATCCCAGATCCTTGATCAAGGAGATTCAAATACAAAACAGAAAAAAAAAAAGAAAGGGCAGCAGTTCCGGACACAGAACACAATCTTGCTACGAAATAATCTAATATATCCCACACACCTTAAACTCATATTGGGGATTAGTTATGAGAGTGACTTGTCCTGTAAGACAAGCAGGATAGTTTATGGCTTCTAATATCTCAGAGAGGTATAGAGTGAGGCACTGTCATGAAAGGTAGCATGTTGTTCCATATTGAATCACACTGGGGAATTACATTGGATTACAATTAGGACAAAATAGTTGGTCAGAGAGCATATGAACACATGGTCATAATGTCAGGGTGGGAGATGACCATAGAGAAGAGGGAGAGATCTGATATATACCTACTGAGAAGTTTAAACAGTGGATAATTGTCCAGTGAAGGGCATGGTCCCACCCTGATATGGAATCAGTCTATCCCTTAGATGTCACTGTGGAAATAGAGTACAGCTCACAGGTCCTCAGAAAAGTAAACACTACATGTGTTTCTGCTAGGTATGATTGACAGCTATCTAGATCTTTCAAATCATTCAAGTTCCCTGGTCTCTTCTTTCTGACAGGGTCTTGATGGATGTCTGGGCATGTTAGGAAAGTCTTAAGAGCAGCTTTGTCCTAGATTCTTGTATTTATTTCTAGGCAGGAGTAAGAGCTTCATACCTTAAGCTGAAGTAGATCTAAGTACGTTATAAAATTTTTTAAAGTGCACTTGGTGATTGTATAGAAATACTATAAGTAACCATCACCACCCCCCTGTGGAGAGCTGCAGGAGCCGTGACCAAAGACGGCGTGGCCACAAAAATGGCGCGGCTGCAACCAAAGATGGCGCTGGCTCCCGCCTTCCGTCTTCCCGGTGAGGAGTGCTCTCTGTAAAAAAAAAACAACTCCTTATATGGCTATGACTTGGCTCCTAGTTTGCTTCCGTGTTTGCAGCCCTATCGGTATATGCCACATGGTGCTTCGGGATTGGCCATCCAGGAGGCTTATAACCGGAGTGCGGGGGCGGAGGAAAAGAGAAGCGGGAAGAAGCGGGCAGAAGAAGGGCAGAAGAAGCGGGAGAGAAGATGTTGTAAAAGGTCCTGAATAAACCGCCTGAAAGAAGAACCTGTTGTCGCCGTCATCCTTGCGGGTCGAGGCGGTCGCGACAAGTGGCGCCCAACGTGGGGCTCGACGGGATTCA